GCGCATGAGTGGTCTTCGGGTGTAAGGGAGGAAGACGTGGGTGTAAAGTCAGGGAAGGGTGAAGGATGATGATGATGATGATGTGAGGGCACATACCTTGTATTGGCGATGGTCTGCACCGAGCGACATCTTCAAGTACTTCAGGTTGTCGCTGATGTCAACATTTGCATTGTCAATTAGTAGGCTGATAATAGCTGTGTAGGAGTAGGCTGGGCGCTGAGCGCCAAGTACGAGAGTGAAGGGACTGGACTCTTGTGTTGGTGAGGAGAGAGAAAGCTCTTCGTGACATTGGTTTGCAGTACTACGAACCTCCATTGGTGTATTATTGGTGCAATGTTACTCTCTGGACACGGTGTGACTATCTGGCTTTCAATGTGATTGTGTAATCTGGATTTGTCATCTCGCTGTTGCTCATTTTCCTTGCAGAAAGCTCCCAAAACCAAAAATAGAATTGAAACCAATCAATGCTAATTAACACCGTCTCTCCCCAGTTCAATCAGCAGCACAAATTTCCCATGATCCCAACCATGTTACAACACTTACGAACTGTGTGTCTTTTTAATGGGGAACGGGGAAAATGAACTCCCGTTGAATCCCGTTGAAACTGAAAAAATCCCGTTAAATGCGAAAATGGGTCGCTCCCGCACTTTTCGGAAAAAGGGAATTGATCCGCGGGGTCCGGAACACGTGGCTCTAGGCACCTGCACACTCAACCCCCACCCCCCTGAAAAAAAAAAAAAAAAAAACATTACCCCAACCCCTGAAGCACCTCTTATACTACCGAATTAGACCAACACCGACTGGCCTGCCACCCACCACTGACCAACCCCCCGGCACCAGTCCCCAAACCTACCCAGAAGCCCTCTAAGCCAGCCCCCACACCCCCCAACCCCCAAGGCCCCAGTTATGTGTGTGCAGGTCTGCTGTGTGTGTGCGTATGTGTGTATGTGTGTGCCTGCATGTGAGAGTGTGTCTGTGCATGAATATATATGTATGCGCATGTGTTTGTGTATGTGTGTGTTTGTAAGTGTGTGTGTATGTGTGTGCACATGATGGTTGGCGTGTGTGCATGTGTGTGCATGTGTGTGCATGTGTGTGCATGTGTGTGTGTGTTTGTGTGTTTGTGTGTGTTTGTGTGTGTTGTGTGTCTGTGTGTGTGTGTGCGTGTCTGTTTTTACTTTTTATCTTTAAGTTTGTTTTGTTTTTTACATGAAGTTAAAAAAAAAAAAAATTGTTGTTGAACATCTTTGAAATGTCTATAACCCTATATTTTTAATTTGTTTTTCTGTTTTTCTTTTAGCCCTAAAAAAATCTCTGCGAGGCCAAGGCCCCGATGAGCCCCTTTTTGGCCCTGTCACTTAATACGTCGGCCGCCCAAAGTAAAGGCAGGCTCGACGAGGGCCTGAGGGCCCCTATTTCAGACACCACGCAACTGAGGAAAATTCAGGCAGTTGCGCAGCGCCAGTTGGTTGAAAGCACCCAGGCCCAGGCCGCCTGTTTGCATGTATGGAAGGCAGGCCCTGGGCTGGATACGGGGTATGGGCCAAACACAGGCCGATGGCAGTTGGGCACAAGTAACCACCACAGGCCCTGGGCCTGATTCGTATTGGACTGGGCCTCAGCCTACCGGGGCGTACCGGAAGCTTCTTGGGATAGACCCAGTGCAGCCGCAGGCAGGCCACTTCCATATAGCAAAGGGCCTGCCTCCGCATTGGACATTCGGGCACTGGCTGCTTTGTGCGCAAGCGCTGCTGCGCTATCGCCCGCCAGGCTCACGTGCTTACGGGCGAGCTGGAAGGAGCAGGCAGCCATAGCCGAGCTGCGCTGCTGTATGCTGGATGGGGCGCATGGTGGTCCTTGGGTGCAAGTGGCATCTGAGAGTTGGGGAATGAGGTTGTGAGTGATACAAGAGACATACCTGGTGCTTGAAGCGTGCCGCATTGGCCGAGATCTGCTCGTACTTCGGGGAGCTGTTGACGTCATCAGCGGCATTGTAGAATAGGCTAGATAGGATCTGCCATCTGTAGTCTGGGGGCCAAGCGCCAGATAGGATATCAACTTTGGTTCTTCGTTGATGATGATGATGAGACTATTCCAGCATTGTCAATTATCAGCTTTTGGTGTGCTCTTATTCGGTGAAACTCGTGATGCAATTCTGCTCTTGGTTCGAGGTCACGACTATCTGGTCTTATGTGTATGATGCTGTTTGATTGCTGAAGTTCGCTATTGCTCATCTTCCTTGCATCTGTGTAACAAAAAAAAAAAAACTCATTTCATCTTTTGTCTTTGTTTTTTTTCATTGTGTTTATGTTTTTTTTTTTTTTAAATAAAGTCAAAGCGCAAAAAATAAAAATAAAAATATGAGGTTGTAGAACTCAAAAAGTCTGAAAAAGATCTACAACCCCATTTTTTATATATATATATTTTTAAGTTTTAGCCTGAGTACGGATCCGGGCCGCCCGGCCGACCAGCGCCTGCCCGGGGGAGGTCCCGGGCGGCCTGGCCGGGCGGGCGGCCCAGTTGGGGGCCGGGCACCCCCAGCACACCTTGTTGGGGGGGGGGTTCCGACCCCGAATAGCCGAGTTGTGGCATCCTCAGGGCCTACCGGGTCCGACCAGGCCCAAAAAACGGCGCATCGGGCCCGTGAGGCCAGTTTTTTTTTTTTGAATTTGTGACAGCCCTCCGCCCGTCAATCATCCATGATCGACGGCCAGAGGGCCGTTTGATTTTTGGAGGGAAAAACGAGGCCCCGTTTGAACAACCGACTGGCTGGGGCGGCCTGCATCGGCTGTCCAAACGGGGCCTTGGTTTTCCCCAGCCACCTGCGTTCGAGGTTCAGCCGCCCTCGCTCCTCCTGCTGCCCGTTGTCGCCATCACCTGGGAGCAACACTCCCCCGTCGTCGTGGAGTCGCCCGTCGCCCGTTGCCAGCGTCGTGGAGTCACCCGTCGGTCGTCCCCCTCTCACCATCTTCTTCTTCTTCTTCTTCTTCTTCTTCTTCTTCTTCTTCTTCTTCTTCGTCTTCGTCTTCGTCTTCTCTCCTCCTCCTCTTCCCACTATCTTCTTTTTCTTTTTTTTTGTTGTTCCATTCGTCAGCGATAGGTCGCGAGATAAACGACAGGTAAGAAAAAAAAAAAAAACTGCTCCGCTCGTCATCCCTTCTTCTTCTTCTTCTTCTTCTTCTTCTTCTTCCTCTTCTCTCCTCCCCCACGTCCCCCTCATCTTCTTCTCCTTCCTCTTCTCTCCTCCTCCTCTTCTTCTGCCCATCTTCTTCTTTTTCTTCTTCTTCTTCTTCTTCTTCTTCTTCTTCTTCTTCTTTGTCTTCTTCTTCTTCTTCTTCTTCTTCTTCTTCTTCTTCTTCTCTCCTCTCCCACCTCCCCCTCATCTTCTTCTCCTTCCTCTTCTCTCCTCCTCCTCTTCTTCTGCCCATCTTCTTCTTCTTCTTCTTCTTCTTCTTCTTCTTCTTCTTCTTCTTCTTCTTGAAGGACCGCCGCTGCAGCCCGCCACCATACCCTACCGCCCTGCCGCCGCCGCCATCTTCTTCTTCTTCTTCTTCTTCTTCTTCTTCTTCTTCTTCTTCTTCTTCTTCTTAGTCTTGGTCTTCTTCTTCTTCTTCTTCTTCTCTCCTCCTCCGCCTCCCCCTCGTCTTATTCTCCTTCCTCTTCTCTCCTCCTAATCCTCTTCCACCCATCTTCTTCTTCTTCTTCTTCTTCTTATTCTTCTTCTT